ACGGGTAAGTAACTTTACAGAAGCGCTCGGAAGGATCCACACGCATTTCAAGCCTTCGGCTGTCCTATTGGATTCCGCCATTGGGCCAGTGGACGGTTCCCCTACAAATATGCAGCTTGGCTCATTTGACAAATATTGATGAGTATGTGACATTTTTCAGGATAGAGATAAGATCCGACTCCCCAAAATGAACTTGCTCAGGGTGAGCTTCTAAGGCTACGTTCACACTGCAGGACAAATGTAGCCCAAATCTGATTTTTTTGCTCATATGTGAGCGCATTTTTTCATTACAATGTGAACAGCACAAGTCACATGGAATCTGATTTTTTCAATTCCGATTTGGGCCACTTCAGTATGTGGTCATAAATTGGATACAGGTCTGATTTTTTGCAACGCGACCTCAGTCTGAACAGCGAAATCGGAATTCATGCGACTTTTACGTCACTCTCGATCAGCGTTCGTCACAATTCTGCGCAGGCGGAAGTCACCATATGTCCCCGTCAGAGTGCCAAACATGGAGGAGAACACAGAAGTTGGCCAGTGAAGGGACAGTGAGGTGCTGGATTTAATAAGTATTTGGGGAGATAAATCTGTTCAGGCAAACCTGGAAGGTTCATATCGTAACCAGGCAGTTTTCGAATCAATAAAGTGACGTCTTTGTTGTTTTGTGCGCACACGGGCCAGTTCAGTATAGTGAACCATTCACATTGAAATCTGATATTGGCCACATTAAAAAGGGTAATGTGAACAGGCAAACAAAAAAATATGAAGCAGGAAATCAGAATTGAGCATTAAGTCCTGCAGTGTGAATGGAGCCTTAAAGAACAATGGATGGATGGATGATAGTTTTTACTTCTTCTTGCAGCCAGAAGTTGGGGGTGTGAACTGTACATCGCATCTCTGATTGGTTGAGAACAGAAGTGCCTCCCCCTGATGTCACCAACATCCCCATATATCTCTGTGCTGCAACCTCCCTGCCCCTCACACTCCAGTCTGCTCATTGATCACAGACTGACATCATGCTGTTCACTCTGTACACCTTCATCACAGCTCTGGCATGTAAGAAACGCGCCTCCTCTCTGTTTATTTTACTTGTTCAGCGTGTTATTTGTACATTACTTTGTATTTCTTTCCTTGTGTCTTTTGCCTTCCCAGATATCAGTGGCCAAAGGATTGTCACTCAAAAACCCTCCTTACTGACTCTGAGTAAAGGAGAAACAGCCACCTTGCACTGCCAGAAACCTGAAGATGATTACAGTAATATTTACTGGTACAAGCAGGTCCCAGGAGGAGCTCCCCAGTTCGTCCTGTATTACTACCGTACTCACAGCTCTCCCACATATGGAAGTGGATTCTCCTCCAGCCGCTTCACCTCCAGAGCCCAGTCCAACACAGATTATCAGTTAGTAATAAGCAGCGTGGAGGTGGACGACTCTGCTGTGTATTACTGTAAGAACTGGTTTAGCAATGAAGCAGTATCACAGTGATTCACACCATGACAAAAACCTGCCAGTTTCACTTCTGCTTTACTACAAATGCTGACAGAATATTATTTCAATTCAAGTTAATCACAACCATTCTTAATGCAGTTAGAGTAATAACTGCCATCAGGACCGGTGGAAGCCCAAGTGGTGCCCAAGGCAAACTTCACTGCCAGTGTCCCACCCACCTGCACACCAAGGAAATAAAGATTGTACGCTGTTTTATATAATATAAGAACGCAATAAATCTTATAATATTTAGTAACATTATACAGTAATAAATAGTAAAAATAATCACATAAATAATAATTACATAATAACAATATCTGAAATAACAGGTGATTTGCAGGAAATTCCATTTGGAGAACATTTGACATGGCATTCCCACTTGCCTCTCACTCCAATTTATGCTGCCATAGCCATATCTGCCAGATCTTACATACTGCACTCACCTGTTTGCACTCCCTCCAGTCTCCCTTACTTTGCATAATGCACTTTTTATCCCCCCCACCCCTCCTGGGCTGGCTGTGCTGCCTGGAGACCTAAAAATCAAGATATCCTACCTACTCTACTGTCTGTGATGCCTCCCTCCCCCCCTTCTGCCTGTGACGTCTCTCCTGCCGGCCCTGCTGCTGTATCACTGTTCATCCTGATGTCAGAAGCAGCACCAGCACATGCCTGCCCTCCACATTTAGACTCGACTCTTGGACCATATAAATTAGGATTTTGTCATTTTGTTCACTTGATTTCCTCTGCTGGTCCCTGGAGGATGCCCCCCCTTTGAGTCTGGTTCCTCCCCAGGTTTCTCCCTTGTACAGGGGTTTTCCATGCCACTGTCGCCTCTGGCTTACTCACTGGGTACTTTGGGCAGAGAGAATGTAAAGTGGTTTGAAACAATGTAATGTTGCCATTATGGACTATACAAATTATTCTGAATTCAAGTGAAAAACAAAAACTGGATGAAGAGGAGCAGGGTCTCTCAGTTCCTTCCTCTCCGTACAGAAAGTGAAGAGCAGTTTTTGTACGGGTGGGTATGAGACCTGTATCACTGTGGTATTCGGACAAGGCACTAAACTGATCGTCAGCGGTAAGTACCTCTCCATTCCCATCTGCTCTGCTTCTCTTACCTAAATCTTTAGTAAAATGCTCACAGCAG